TGATCCAGGGAAAAGTGGTGGAATTGCCAACAGTTGTCCAGAAGGAGTTTTATTTTGCCATTCCCATACCTGCAGAAAGTTGCCAGAAGCTGTCCTTAACCTACATAAATCTTTTTTTAACCACATTAACAGAGAAAAACAATGCGTCCAGTATGCAGGTCCAGTAGTGACTTATTCTGTAACTGTGTAACATGAACACAAACATCAGGTGGGACCTTTTCACAATGCTGTATATCTTGGCCCTACTAGGTCAAACGTTGCACAGGTGTGACCCCTTCCCTACAGAATAAAGGCTGCCCACATCGTGCACCAACATACGTCTTGTCTGTGGCCATAAGTTGGCATTGAGCTGCCAGATAGCTGAGCTACGCAACACTGCCGGGCTATGCACACCCCTGCTCTGCTACATTTAAATTTTTGGTAAACTCCAGCTCTGCAAGCTGAGATAACATGCACTGCATTGATGCATTCACACAATTTCACAGTAGCCATAAGAAAAAAAACATGAAATAAAAGAATCTGAGTAGTTCTCCCAACTATGCGTGATTAACCTAAAATCGGTTCTGATATCGCTGTTTTACTAACCTGACAGCTTATTATTCTAAAAAGGAAATCTTCATTTGGTTTGCAAATAAAGATTCTAACTACCAGCAAGAATGAGTCGGATTCCTTACATTTAAAGAGCACCTGTCATTGTAGATCCATCATGGCAGCGCCTGTTAGCGGGCATCCACTCACCTGCTGCCGCCACGTTCCTCACCTTGTCGTGTCACTGCTGTATCACCAGCTGTCCCATTTAAGTGAATAGGACTGTTGGTGAGAGTAAAGAGTAAAGAGCGGGTCAGAGGGGGAGCTGCTGCAGGACAGATGACAGTTGCTCTTTAAAAATTATGATTTAAATCGAGCCTTTTCAATAGCAATTTAAATCAACTTTATTTAATTAAAATCCACCCAGGTGCAGACATTACTTTTCATGCAGTGGTGTATGTTGCCAATCAGCTTCTAACTTCAGCTTGTTCCAATTCTGCTTGGACAAAAAAATAAAAAAATAAAAAAATTGAAAACTGGAAGCAGATTGGATTATTTGCATATCTCCAGTTTTAGTAAATTCAACCCCATTGCATCCAGGGTTGGTGACCTGTCCTAACTGCAGGTAACCGGCTAGGAACATTGCTTGCAGCTGTCTGGAATCAACTGATTCCAGTGGCAAGAATCCACAGACTTCAGTACACATGGGCCAAATATCAGCCAGTTTAACAGAAACCAGCCAGTGTGTACAGCAGCCGATTCAATGACAGGCTTCTGTCCAGGGCGGACTGACAACTCATGGGGCCCCCGGGCAATAGGGGGATCATGGGGCCCCGTGTCCTTGCCCAAACTCAAAAAAGCCTATGAAAAAAGGTACCAGGGGCATCTCATGGGGCCCCCTACTGACCCCAGGCCCTCGGGCAGTGGGCTAGTTTCCAAATGGTCAGTCCGCCCCTGCTTCTGTCGTGCGGGCATGCTGGAAAACCAGCATGCAAGTACTGAACAGTGTGTTCTGTCAGAACAGAATAACTCGGCGGGGGAGATTGCCACACCAACATTGCTTAGTTAGTATGGCAACCTCCCAGTTATTTTTTCAGTGAGCCTGTGATAAAATAAACAAAAAAAAAACCCTTCCTATGTGTACCTAGCATTAGGGTGCAAAGGCAGCAGACAATGGTGTTTGCACACAACAGGGGGAAAATGTTTGCCACCAGGAGCAAAGCAAAGTATCTCCGTTATGGGAAAAAGTTGTCACATTCAGCGGCGCAGTTAAAAGTGGCCCATTCAAGCAATTCAATGCACGTGGTGGTGTGGCATCTACAGGGTTAAAATAGGCAGCTGCCTATCAAAAGCCTCTGAAAAGTGATCTGAATGCGGATAACTTTTCAGTCGTGCTGCACATCTAAACCTAGACATAAAAAGTTCCTGAAGTAGTAAAGATAAAATGTCAGTATTTATGGAGGTTGGCTTTAAATCATGTGAATTAATGCTGACTGCTGTAAGCACCCCTGGCAGTGTTCGGTTACATTTAGGGCCTGTTCGCACCAGCAGCCATGTTGTAATGCAGCTGCTGGTGTGTTCTGTGAAGTAAACTGTGCCGATGCTCTGATTACAAAGCATCACACTTTTTGCCGGAGTTTAGCTGCGGGATCACTTAAAGGTGATCACTGCATAGCGATTACATGTGAGCAACTGTGATTAACTGTGGAAGCCAGAAGTCTCCCATTGCTTTCAATGGGGCTGCTCCCCCACAGCTAATCGACTGCAAACCCCACTGCGGTTCTTGCATATAAACTATATATAAACTCTATCAGGACCAGTCTCAGGTGTGAATGTGGCCCTATAGTGATTGACCCCATTCCTTGTTAAAAGAGAGGTGGTAATAGGGAGTAACCGAGACAGAGTTAAGAGGATCTCTCAACTTGATACTATTGCACCCAAGGGGTTAATTAAGGATTTTGATTTACAGTGGGTATAGAAAAGAATTCCTCCCCTTTTAAATAATCACATTTTGTTGCTTTGCAGCCTGAAATGAAGACAGGCACAGTTTGTTTAATCCAGCTGTATTTACTCAGTGCAATTTATAACATCCAAGTGAAAGACATAACACCAACATGTAAAAAAACAAAACAAAAAAAAAAAAACAGAATCAAGTGTTAGAAAAAAGGATCACCCTCTTCCTAAAAATGCAATTAGGTGTAGCTAATCACCTTCTCAATGGCACACAAAGCCATTTGACTTTCAACTATCAGCTGTGGTCATTTTGATTAGTTCAGCATGAAAGAGCTTTCCTGCAGCATTTCAGTCCCTGATAGTGCAACTGAAGCAAACAATCAACTATGGGTGGCACAGCACTGTAAAAAGTTGTGGATAGGCTCAAGTCAGGAGATGGATACAAGAAAATCAATGCCTAGAAGCACAGTGAAGTCTATTAAGAAGTGAAAGGTGTTGAGTACAACACAGACCGGGATGCACCAAACGGGATGAAAGAGACAGGAGGAAACTGGTCAGAGAGGTTACCAAGAGACCTACAACTCTGAAGCAGTTGCAGGAATGTATGACAGAGTGGTCACTGTGTGTATATGACAACAATGCCACAAATTTCCCACAAATGTGGTTTGTATGGGAGGGTTGCATGTAAAAAGCCACTCCTCAAGAAAGGCCACATGCAGTCATGGCTGAGCTTTGCCAAAAAGGCACCTTGAAGGTTCTGAGGCCACATGGAAAAAAGGTGTTATGGTCAGATGAGACTAAAAATGGAATTATTTGGCCTCAATACTAAACAATATGTCTGGCAGAAATCCAACACAGCTCACCATTCAAATAACACCATTCCTACAGTAAAGCATGGAGGTGGTAAAATCCTGTGATGGGGGTGTTTCTCTGCAGCAGGGACTGGAGCACTTGTCAGGATATAAGAAATAATGAATGGGACAAAATACCATCAAATTCTTGAGGAAAATCTGCTGCCCCCTGCCAGAAAGTTGTCAATGGGAAGGTTTACCTTCCAACATGACAATGACCCAAATCACACAGTAAATATTGACCGCACAGTGGTTGAAGGAGAAAAAAGGTGAATATTCTTGCATGGCCTAGTCAGAGGTCAGACTTAAACCCCACTGAAAATCTGTTGAATGACTTGAAGAGTGCAGTCTACAAACAGTCACCATCAAATTTAACGGAACTTGAGCAGTTCTGCAAAGAAGAGTGGGCAAATATTGCAGTCTAGATGTGCAAAGTTAGTAGAGACATATCCCAATAGGCTAAAGACTGTAATTAAAGCAGAAGGTGGTTCAACAAAATATTGACACAAGGAGGTGATCCTTTTTCAAATTCAGGGAGTCTGTTTTTGAATTTTCTGTTTGTTTTTTCTGACATGTTGGTGTTATCTTTCACTTGGATGTTATAAGTTGAACTGAGTAAATACAGCTGGATAGAACAAAAACTGAACCTTTACCCACTGTACACCTTTATGTTACAGTTTGTTTCCTTTGTGCTTTTTATTACAGGTAAGGCATTTTCACATGGGTGATCCAATCAGGTCTGCCAGTCAGTATTTCAGGCAGACCTGATTGGATGGCCCATGTAGCTCTATGAAGCAGAGGGTATAAATGAACTTGCTTGTTTACATCCACCTACCTCCAATCTGATCTGTAAAAAGAAAAAAAAAAAAAAAAAAAAAAAAAAAAAAAACCCACGCACGAAAGGGAATCCATCCGTCTGTCTAGGTGGATTGGATCTGAGGGCAGCTGGGTGTAAACAGACAGCTGGTCCATTTACTCCCAGCCACCCATACAGCAGAGCAGGCTTTGCCCATGTCCGCTCTGCAGAAGCTGTCATCCACTCATTCTGCTGGGGGTCAGCGAACAAATCCCAATGCTGAGCAAAGAAGATTCTGCCCCTTGTGAAAGGGGCCAAATATGAGGAATGGCCAGTGATATTGCCATGTTTCTTTAGGTAACAAGCTGGTTAATTAGACTGACTAATGACTTATGTAAAGAAGCTCAGGTGTTGCTTGCTTCCAGTTTGATATATATGCTTTAGAACAGCGGTTCTCAACCTGGGGGTCGCGACCCCTTTGGGGGTCGAACGACCATTTCCCAGGGGTCGCCTAAGACCATCGGAAAACACATATTTCCGATGGTCTTAGGAACCGAGACACCGCTCCTCTCTCCGACGATGTGTGGGCGGGATGATACGCTGCTCCTGTCACCTGGCCACACCTCCGGGATCGCTCAGCAGCTCCGCCTCCTCGCCGCTGATTGGCCACCGGACCTGTAGCTCAGGAGAGGCACACAGGCGGCCAATCACCGGCGAGGAGGTGGAGCTTGGAGAGGAGGAGCCGAGCGGCAGCGCGCGCACATCAAAGAAGATCGAGGGAGCTGCCGGAGCGAGTGAAGAGGAGAGCGGCCAGAGAAGGAAGACAGCTGACAGGTAAGTGAGAGAGCGAGCTCAGGCTGTCACTAATACCAACGATGGGGCACTACTCCCCCCCCCCCTGACCCCAATGATGGGGCACTATTCTCCCCTCCACCACACTGACACCAACGATGGGGCACTACTCCCCCCACTGACACCAACGATGGGGCACTACTCCCCCCACTGACACCAACGATGGGGCACTACTCCCCCCACCACACTGACACCAACGATGGGGCACTACTCCCCCCACCACACTGACACCAACGATGGGGCACTACTCCCCCACACTGACACCAACGATGGGGCACTACTCCCCCCACTGACACCAACGATGGGGCACTACTCCCCCCACCGACACCAACGATGGGGCACTACTCCCCCCACTGACACCAACGATGGGGCACTATTCTCCCCTCCACCACACACTGACACCAATGATGGGGCACTACTCCCCCCACTGACACCAACGATGGGGCACTATTCACTACCCCCCCACCGACCACCACACTACTGACACCAACGATGGGGCACTATTCTCTCCCCCCACACTGACACCAACGATGGGGCACTACTCCCCCCCCGACACCAATGATGGGGCACTACTCCCCCCACCGACACCAATGATGGGGCACTACTCCCCCCACCGACACCAATGATGGGGCACTACTCCCCCCACCGACACCAATGATGGGGCACTACTCCCCCCACCCAATGACACCACCGACACCAATGATGGGGCACTACTCCCCCCACCGACACCAATGATGGGGCAATGATGGGGCACTACTCCCCCCACCGACACCAATGATGGGGCACTACTACTCCCCCCCACCGACACCAATGATGGGGCACTACTCCCCCCACCGACACCAATGATGGGGCACTACTCCCCCCACCGACACCAATGATGGGGCACTACTCCCCCCACCGACACCAATGATGGGGCACTACTCCCCCCACCGACACCAATGATGGGGCACTACTCCCCCCACCGACACCAATGATGGGGCACTACTCCCCCCACCGACACCAATGATGGGGCACTACTCCCCCCACCGACACCAATGATGGGGCACTACTCCCCCCACCGACACCAATGATGGGGCACTATTCACTCCCACCGACACCAATGATGGGGCACTATTCCTCCCACCGACACCAATGATGGGGCACTATTCCTCCCACTGACACCAACGATGGGGCACTATTCCTCCCACTGATACCAACGATGGGGCACTATTCCTCCCACTGATACCAACGATGGGGCATTATTCATCCCACTGACATCAGTGATGGGGCACTACTCCTTCCACTGACACCAATGATGTGGCACTACTCCTCCCACTGCAAAATTACAGTTATGAAGTAGCAACGAAAATAATTTTATGGTTGGGGGTCACCACAACATGAGGAACTGTATTAAGGGGTCGCGGCATTAGAAAGGTTGAGAACCACTGCTTTAGAAGGAACACTATTGAATTTATGTCTTGTTCTTGTTATACCTGATGAAGGGTTGGAATTTGCATTGTTGAGCTTGATGCTTTAAATACATTTAGAAGGTGCTGCAGATCAGATTTAATTTCTATTTGATCTACTGGAGATTGGGTAGTCTCAGTTTTCTGCTTTGCACCAACAGAACTATATTTTTCTGTGCTGGGCTGAGGACTTTGAGAACATTCCTAAGATCAGGTAATTCTAAACTATAAAAGCAGGTTTTACCAGTATGAATGAGGCTTCATAGTTTTTCCAAACAACTGTCACTGCTGGATAGCTTGGTATGCATGTGAACGTGCATAACAATACAGAGGAATGAGGGGAGGAGAAAAAAAAAAAAAAAAAAAAAGATATACCGAATACTATCCTTACAAACATAAACCTCACAATTAACATAATACAATCGCTTTTATGCAAAAGTGGCACTTTAAGGTCTCATGTACGCTGGCATTGACAGACCTGCAGCTATGCATTTATAGTACACTACAATTATGCATTTAAGTCCTCAAAGACAGGGGATTTGGATGATACAGTGTAAACAATTTGCTTTTCTGGGCATCCTTGGGCACAGGTGCAGGGTACAGCCTGCTGCTGGCAGCCTATTAAAATCAATGATAGGATGAAATATGCAGCTGGGAGCACTACTTACACTAAGGGTCCTTTCACACGGGTGTTTTTTTTTTTTTCTTCAGTTCAGTCAAGTTTTTTGAAAGGAAAAAAAAAAAAAAAAAAAAAAAAAAAAAAAAAAAAAAAAAAAAAAAAAAAAAAAGTTTACTTCTGTTTTTTTATCTAGTGGAAAAGAACAAACAAGGGCGCACTCTCATCGTGCATTACCGTGGTAGAACATGTATTTATTAAATGAAAAGAGAATATATACTCACAAACCAACATGATAAAAAGGCAGTAAAGGGTGGTCCACAAGGACAGTCACAATGCATCTGTGTCTACTAGTGCAGATAGTTTAACGCGTTTCGGGAGCTAAACCCCTTCCTCCCGAAACGCGTTAGCCTGTCTGCACCAGTAGACACAGATGCATTGTGACTGTCCTTGTGGACCACCCTTTACTGCCTTTTTATCACGTTGGTTTGTGAGTATATAGTCTCTTTTCATTTAATAAATACATGTTATACCACGGTAATGCACGATGAGAGTGCGCCCTTGTTTGTTCTTTTCCACTAGTGGTCAGATTCCCCGATCTTAAAAGGGCAGCACCTCTTCGGTTGGCATTTTGGCATCGCCTTGGTTGTATGAAAACTGGAGCGCTGGTTTCGTTCATTCATCTTTTGGACAGTTTTTTCATCTGTTTACATCCGTTTTTCATCCGCTTACATCCATTTTTTTTTTTGCTGACGAAAAATAGGGTCTTCTTCCGTTCAAAAAAAAGTATGTTAACGGATACGGACATTAACGGATATAAAAAGAGGTTCATCTGGAAGTCCATAGAAACACATGGGGCTCCGTTTTTATCCATAAAAGGATGGATGAAAAAATGGACATATGGAATGCCCATGTGAAAGGGGCCTTAAGGCTGTATTGGGCATAGGCCCCTAAACACATATGGCCCTAAATTGGAGTACCGCTCAGAACAGAACATCCAGCCGCTGCATATTCCATTCTGTCATTGATTCTGACAGGTTGCCAGCAGTGGGCTGTGCACTGCACCCCTGTTCCTCCAAGTCATCCAGAAAATGGTACATGCCCATGGAGGTTTGCAGATGCAAACATCCACTAGCGTAAATTTCTGGTGTTTTCCTGCGCTAAGAGCTGCAGGTGTTGTGTACAACTAGCAATGGAAGTGAATGGTTGTATGCGCTTGTTCTCATGAAAACGCCAATTTTTTTTGCATCAACCTTTACAACTCTTTGCTATGTGCCCCAGCAGTGAATAGTTTTTATCCAGTGCGGTACGGTAAAATGCTACACGCCTGCATGTCCGCACCTATAGGCGGCATTGCAGCGGAAACCGGGCATATAGAAAAATATTTTCATGGATACATGTTTTCACTTCTAGGACACATTGAAAATAATTGCATGAAGGTGCCATTAACCTAGGATCACAGTAGTGCTGCTACATAATCATGTGTTTTTACATGTTTTTTGTTGCATTTTCATGCTTCACACGTTTTGTTTTTTGTAGGAGAAGGTGACTGGTTGTAAAAGTACGAAACCATGAGAAAAATGCAAGTACATAACCTGTTAATGAACACACACACACACACACACACACACACACACACACACACACACACACACACACACACACACACACACACACACACCACACACACAAGAAATTGCACTGCACCATGGCTAGCACTTCCACCTAGCAGCACTAGGGTGGTCAGTTCGAATCCATACCACGACCCTCTGTCTGGAGTTTGCAGGTTCTCCCTGTGCCTGTGTGGATTTCCTCTGGTTACTCCAGTTTCCTTCCACACTCCCAAAGACATGCTGGTAGGTTAATTGGCTCCTGTCTAAACTGGCCATAGTATGTGTATGTATAAATGTGCATTAGGGACCTAAGGCCATCAGATGCCTGAGGGCAGGGACTTATTTAAATTAACAAAATATATGTAAAGCACTGTGTAAATTGGTGGCACTATATAAAATATCTGTAAGGGCTCGTCTACACCTGCTTTGCTCTCCAAAGTGCGTCTTGTGCTCGGGTTGAATCTGAAGCTCATTTGAAACAGGTCTAAAGGCTTCTTTACAAAAGCAAAAGAGGGCGCCGATCTGGGTGAAGTAATTCAGTAAACAGTTTATTAAACTCACATATAAAAAGAGGAATGATACACATCACTGCATCCCAATAAAAGAGAACCACAGAGTCATGGAGAAGATTGTACTTTAATGGACTGATGGGACTAGATATTTTGATCTATTATTATACAGGATTTATATAGCGGCAACAGTTTGCTCAGCACTTTACAATATCTATTGACCTATTAGTAGTGTCCTTTAGCGATCATCCCTCCATATGTGCCACCAAATTATATGTTGCTACATTACTAAGGGCTCGTTTACACATGTGATTTGGGGGGGGGGGGGGGGGGGGGGGAAGACAGTAAAATACTGTGGTTCAACTGTGTTTTTACTGCCCCGCAACAGCTCCCCCTTTTGCTTCAGAGGCAGTGGCCAGGGATGTATACATGCCGCAGCCGCAATGCTTTCCAGTTAAAAGAGAAGTATGGGTTTCTATTTTTTCTCCCAAATATACTTAACCAGGTGGATGCTGCATCTGTCGACTGCCAGCTCTAACCCTAGGTTGATACCGAAGTGTTTTCCAGAAATGCAGTACAGTCCATTCAACACGATTTCCTATGGGACACATTCACAGCTCTGCGTTTTCACCCGGTGTGTTTTTTGGAAAGGGTCAGGGACTTTTTTGAACGCAAAAGGTTGCATTTTTAGTTCTATAGACTTGAATGGAAACGCTGAAAAAAGCATGTAGTGCGTTTTTGCTGCGTTATAAATCTACCTAGCAAGAAGAAAAAAAAATGCAAAACACATAAAAAAAATGTGGCAAAAATGAAAGTGTAAAAACGCAATGCAAAAAGCACTGCAGAAACGGACCAAAGACAAACTGCATAGGTGTCACCTAGCCTAAGTGTGAGAACTCAGCGATCACATGACTACTGATTGCTGAGTTTTCAAAGCCAGTCTGAGCAGAGAGTGGTGACTGTCAGTCACCGCTGTCTGATCTGGTA